TCATTTCACATGCTAGCAGAGTTATGCTCAAAATCCTACAAGCTAGGCTCCAGCAGTATGTGGACCGAGAACTACCAGAAGAACAGGCAGGGTTTCGAAGAGGGAGAGGAACTAGAGATCAAATTGCCAACATACGCTGGATCATGGAGAAAGCTAGGGAGTTCCAGAAAAACATCTACTTCTGCTTCATTGACTATGCTAAAGCCTTTGATTGTGTGGATCACAACAAATTGTGGCAAGTTCTTAAAGAGATGGGAGTACCAGACCATCTTATTTGTCTCTTGAGAAACCTGTATGTGTGTCAAGAAGCAACAGTGATAACTGGACATGGAACTACTGATTGGTTCAAAATTGGGAAAGGAGTACAGCAAGGCTGTATACTGTCGCCCTGCCTATTTAACTTATATGCAGAGCAAATCATGCGAAAGGCCGGGCTAGATGAATCACCAGTTGGAATTAAGATTGCCGGAAGAAATATCAACAACCTCAGATACGTAGATGATACCACTCTAGTGGCAGAAAGTGAAGAGGTACTAAAGAGCCTCTTGAAGCGGGTGAAGGAGGAGAGTGCAAAAGTTGGCCTGAAACTCAACATTAAGAAAACTAAGATCATGGCATCTGGTCCTCTCACTTCCTGGCAAATAGATGGGGAAGAAATGGAGGAAGTGACAGATTTTACTTTCCTGGGCTCCAAGATCACCGCAGATGGGGACTGCAGCCAAGAAATTAAAAGATGCTTGCTCCTGGGGAGGAAAGCAATGGCAAATCTAGACAGCATACTAAAAAGCAGAGACATCACCCTGCCGACAAAAGCTTGTATAGTCAAGGCTATGGTTTTCCCAGTTGCAATGTGTGGCTGTGAGAGTTGGAGCAAAGGAAGGCTGAGTGCTGAAGAATTGAGGCCTTTGAATTGTGGTCCATGGGGTTGCAATGGGTCGGGCACGACTTTGTGACTAAACAAAAACTAAAGTAATCCTACTGCTCCTATGCCATGGTTCCAAACCATGTATAATGTTGCATGCATGTGTGATGCTTTCAGTCGTGTTACCTATGCAAGTTTGCTGCTTTCTCTGTGTTCTCATTCAGACTTTCTGAGGTGACCGCTGCTGCTGTCCGTCCGTCCGTTCCAGCTGATTGGGGGTTCCCTTGCATGCTGCCCCCACTGCACGCTGCAAGCATCTTGCTGCTAAAGCCTTTGAAAGCTTGCTAGCATTTGGTGTGTTGCAGAACAACAAACTGCTTTGCTCAGGACGTTAAGCTGCTTGGCCACGTTTGTTGTGTCATTGCAGAATGTAAACATATTTTGATTGCTGCTGACTGCAAGACTGTTGATCTGCACCAGAATGTTAAATTGGATCAGTGTCTAGATAAGGAGATGGCTGGGTCTGTCACTGAAAAACATCCTCCCTCTGTTGGGCAAACCAGGGGCCCCATCACTTCCTGGGAATCCAAGGAGCGGCCTCACCCATAGCCAGGGCTCAGGGTGATAAGGGGCCGGAGGAGGGAGGTTTAGCGCCTCTGCGCTTAGCAACAGATTCTGGGATAGTGAGGCGCTTGATAAGACCCAGAGCTGGAGGCACTGCCTTTTGTTCTCAGCCTGGGGAGGGGAATGGACCCATTGCCTGCCAGAGCAGTTGGAGGAAACAATACAGCCCCAGATAAGAGGAATGCAAACTTTCTTTTAAGTGTTCCTTTTCTGCACCTGCATTTCATCCTTTTCAATAAATTGCATATTATGTCTGACACAGGTAGTTTTGCTTCCTGCCAAGGATCCTCAGAGGAGGTTTTGCTCTAGACTGGACTTCTGGGGGGGGGGGGGGGAAAAGGGTTTTTTTTTTTGGGGGGGGGGGGGGGGGGGGGGGGGCCCCAAAGGGTTTGTTCATTCATGGAGGGGGCCGTGGAGGGGGCCTGGCCCAAGAGCCCTCCAGCACCGGCAGCCAGCACTGAACACAGCCCAGGCTCCACCGCTGACACTGCACAAACACCTTCCAGAAGGCCAGCAGGGGGACAAAAAACCCACCTTACTGGTGGGGCACACGATGAGAGAAGGGACTGACACAAAGCCAGGCCTTTCCAGTTTCTATGCACGCTTGAATTTAAATGTCGGAAGCAAGACATTGGTGCTGATCTGCTGCAACTCTCCCGGAGACCCGTGCTGACCTTCTGGGCTGCGATGTGCCACAGGGCAGGCTTGGATCAAAGGCACCCACATGGGCAGCCGGAAGCCCCCGGAACAGTGTCTGCCTATTGCTTCCTGGGCATTTTGATCTGCAGTCATACCTCGCACTTGGCTTCTGTGCCTTATTCTGGCAGTTGCCCCGTTTGTCCCACGCGCTGCACCGGGGATCACATTATCTGCGCCATCTAAAAGGTCAGCATTTCCTTCCCCAGCAGAAACCCACAGAGACCAAGAGGGAGCGGGGAGAAAACTCACCTGTCGCTGGCAAGCGGCAACGATCTGGATGAGGGCTGTCGGGCTGCGACGTCCACTAGAGGAGCAGTCCTTCTGCTGGGGCACATGACCTAATGGGACAGATGATTTGCAAAAGAAGGAAGCGTGCGGCTTCTTGAACAGCAGTGCAGTCCGCATGCAAGATGCATCTAGTGCAGAGGCGAGTGGCGTCAATTGCCTTCCGTCTTCTGCCATAAGGTCCTCAAATGTGCCCTGATCAAGCACAAAGGGCAGGTGCGCACATGTGGTGCTGTCTGCATATCACCATAATCAAAGGGCAGAAGCCACCGGAAAGCCCCATGTGCTCAGAGCATCTCTGGATCTTGCAGAACCTGCACGCCGTCTGTCGGGGGAGTGTCTTGCTTCCCAGCTGTCACCAGGCCCAGGTGCTAACTCCTCCAGTGGTTCCATCCAGTGTTGGCACCTTTTACAATAAGCCCTAATATAATGGTTTATACGATGCTTTACTTTAACTGTGATGCTTCTGACCCAAATACAGAAAGAAAAGACAGCACTGCCTCATTTCAGTTCACACAGGGAGGGTGAGGTCAAGGGGCGGGCCAGACTTTAGCTTCTCCCCTCCCTGCCTGCCCCCTTTCTAATGAGGAAAGCAAAACGAAGCAGGAACTGGCAAGCTGCAGTGCTAGGACTGCAAGCAGCTCTCAGGGGCATTTTGCAAGGCCCGGGGGACCAAGTCAGAAACTTGCGCAGGGAGAGGTGGAGCAGGCCTGGCCACTGGTGGTACCCCCCACCCCCACTCCCATTCCATGCGCAGGTCTCTCCACCTTCACTCTTTCTTCCCCACTGGAACCAGGGCAGCATCTTCCACCATCCCAGACTCACGGAGGGGACAGAGGCGGGGTGAGAAGGGAAGGTGAGAAGGGAAGAGGGGCAAAGTTATTCCTCTGAAGTTCAGAGCCACGCTCTGTATCCAGAGTGAGATGCAAGGCACCAATGCCTTTTAGGAGCCTGGTTTCTAAACACATCATATTAAGCAGCGCTTGTGGCGGGATGCTGCAGTCTGCAGTTCGGGGTTCCGCAAGCTTATGGATGCCTTCGTCTTTGTGCGTGGATGGTCTGGCTCCAGTGACACTTGAACCCTGGAAATGCAGGGGAGCTGTTCTGTCCTCCAAAAAAATCAGCAGGCCAGAACATCTGGCAAAGAACAACTCAGATGGGTTTCCCCAGGTCTGTTTGGCTCCTTGCAGAATTCCCTTCCAGGGCCTTTCAGAACTGGTTCCCAAGCCATCTCCCTAGGCTTTCCAAACTGTGCTCCCTGTTCCTGCATTGGGCAGTGCCAACGCACAGGCAGTGCCAACAGGTTGAAACCCTGCTAGTCAATCCAAAGCAGAGAAATAATGTTTTCCCAGCTGTCAACCCCGTTTCCATCCCAGCAAGGACATGCACAGCTGTCTCTGCAGTGCTTGAACTGCTGTCACATCATTGCTGCGGGTACTAACCAGACTGTATTGTGTGAGCACCACAATACCTTTTCTGCCGCTTGTTTCCTTAAGGTATTCAGCAAACAGCCACTATTGATCTGCAAGCATTTCATATCTAATGATTTTACAGGCGCTTGTGTCTTGTGATCACTTTTTCAATATCAGATCATTCAATATCACACCGCATTCGGAAACTTTGGACATGTGATTGTACCATCAAACACGTGCACCTGGCCTATGACTTATTTCATTTTAAAACTCTTTTTCATTCTGTTCATCCAAAGAACTCAGGATCAGCTGTGCAAAAATACCCTGAGAAAGGTTGGGCTGAGCGAATAGTCTTCATCCCCAATTACATTTAAGAAGGCAGACTACAACGAAGTGTTGCAGCATGGAGTAGCCCGGTTCATGGCTGGTACTGGCTGGATACCACACGCTTATAGGATATACCATTCTGTTCCTCTTCCTGTCTGGATGTCTCCTCTCGTTCTCTCTTCCCCTCCACAACACATACTCCTGGTACCAACAGCCAATCTTCTGGAACTAGCGAGCACAGGCAACCTAATTCTGAGGGTTCCCACCTTCCGGCTTTTTCTCAAGGGCTCTTCTGCAAATATAGGGATTGAGTCTTCTGAATCAGATGCCTCCCTCTTGCCCACGGATGGTGCTGTTTTAACTTCAGAGTGCCAGTACTTAAGAGAATGGTGTTTGCTGTTTGAAGGTGCAGCACATCTTGCTGTCTGAGCTGTTGAAATGAACCTGTCCCATCCTGGACTGTAACTGAGCAATAAGGATGCCTCACTCTGCCCAGCGGTAGGGCCAGCTCCACCCAGAGAGCTTGAGAGGACTTCAGGGCTCACCAAGATTTTGTTGCGAGTCAGAAGTGGCAGCTTTCACTGGGACGGGGATTTCTCAGGTTCTCCATTCAGTGAACAATGAAAGCAAATCATTAAATAGCTTATGAGACCAAATCTTCTGGGTCTCATTCCACCTTCTGCTGGATTTTATCCATGTCCCCCCACCACAACCCGATCTAGCTATCCCTGCCTGATCACCTCCAAAGAGCACCAGATATTTTTTGGGCAAGTAACTTTATTATTCTATTTTGCATGATCCCTGTGCAGTCACAGCAGTAGTGAAATATAGCCCCACTTGGTTGCCCCAGCCAAGAAATCAGTGTGGAAAGGTAGCTCCTGGAGGTGGCTTCATTTCCAGGCGGCAGGGGTGCTCTGCCTCCTCCAGCGGAATTTCTTCCTCACTCACTTGCATAGAAGAGAGGTCGTGCCGCACCTGGAAGAATTAAAGTTCAGAGTTAAGCGTAAGGTGGGACCCACCGGCATGCTAAGCCAGGTATAGAAGGGCATGTGTCTATCACAGTTCACGGTGAGCAGGTCTCTGGGTATCCTATCGCTGAGTCTGTCTTACATGAAGGAGCAATGCATGGTTATTCACAAAGCCACACATGAGAACCGGTACAGCTGGGCGTGCATGCGGCCACTGGCTGGGTGCACACAGCTTGAGAAGCTTGAGTGTGGGTTAAGCATGGCTTGTGCTGAATTGTGGGTTCCAATCCGTACCACCCCAAATAGCATACTGCAGTTGCCAGCGACGGTTGTGAGGTGTGGCTCTCCTCCTGAGTAAACACGCTGTTCCAGAGTCGCTTTTCCACAGGACTTGATTGTTCCATATCTCTGAGTTCGTGCAGAGTCCTCGTGCTGAGTCCTCTTTCTTCCTCCTCTTCCTGCCTCGCACATCCTGGCAGGCAGAGCTCTGCAAAGCCCAGTGCTTTTGCAGTCCTCACGCTTCTCAGATAACAGAATTCCCTGCCTGTGCTGTCTCCTAGCCACTGGCCACACCCCCTCGAGGGGAGGGATCTCTGCCAGACCCATTGCTCGGCTCCCTCTGCGAGACCATCCAGCCCCCATCTCCTCCGCCTGATCCACTATCGGCAGATTGGACTCCCATCAGCCCCAGCTATCAACACCAACTCCTGTTCAGCTATCTCTTCATTCCCATGGGCCAGTTGGCCACCCCCGCCATCGTCCTGGATTGACAACTCCCCTCCTTGTTCCCCAGACATTCCTTGACCTTGATCTGACACTGGGGCTTGTTGAGTTTCCACAACGATTTTGCCTTCACTGTCAAGAGCTGTATTCCAGTCAACACTGAACTGCTCTTGTGCATTCTGCACACGACAGTGACTGGGTTACAATGACACAGGAACCCACATTCAAGCATCGAGTGTGGTTTACTGCTGAAATGTGGGTTATCGTTTCATCTGAACCCAGCTGTACTAACAAGCCATGGCTTGTAAACCAACCCAGAGATCCCACAATTTGTCAATGGGTTGTGAACTGTGGCTTGTTTGTGGTTAACTATGGTTTCCTAATGCAGCTGGGTTCACACAAGATTCCTGCGGCACGCTTGAAGACTAACCAATGTCTTCCAGCACGAGACTTTGCAGACTGGAGTCCCTCAGATGGGGTCCATTGTACTGGGTGAAAGCCACGCATCCGTAATGCTCGCACCTCGGAATAGCAATCATTGCCTGTGCATTCGGCATTTCATTTCCCGCAGACCTCAGTGCTTACATCCTCCCCCGGCATGCGCGCAGTCTAATAATTTGGTTAGTCTTGCCAATCGCACAGGACTTCGTTGCTCCTCTTGCTTAAAGTAGGAAATCAAAAGTAGTGGCAAGCAGCTATTGACATTCCTAAGATCTCATTTTCATGTGTTTCTTCCCAACTATACAGAAATAGAAAGTAAATCTAACAAGTTTCAATCTGGTTATTAAGTAATGGATACCAATTGCTTAGAATCACAGAATCATAAAACAGTAGAGTTGGAAGGTGCCAAGAAGGCCATCGGGTCCAACCCCTGCCAGGCCACCCGTTTCCACCCTCCCACTCAGAGGGCTGCCCAGTTTCCCCTTGAATGTGTCCAGTGTGGGAGAGCCCCCCATCTCCCCAGGCAGCTGGTTCCACTGTTGCATTGCTCTGACCTGACAGTGAGGAAGCTTTTCCTGATTATATGTTCCATCTTGTCTCCTTTTCTTGTCTATTCCTCTCTCAGGAAACAGAGTAAGATTGCCAGACTATTATTTTTAAAGGATCCATTGAATGCATGTTGTCCTCCTGTACTTATCAGTCGAGTTGAAGAAACGCAGGGCTTGCATTCGGAGAACTTGCAATGGAGACGTCTTCTGGTGGAAGGCTTGTTACTTAAATTACCCTCGAGGAACTGTCAACGTTGTGAGCATTCAAGCCCTGAGGGGGAGTCCGCATGGCTCCTGCATTGTGTGTACTGGCCAGTAGGAAGGTTAAACACCCCTCAAATGACCCAAGCCTAAGGGCAAACGAGGGTTATTTCACTGGCCCTCTTCATGTGACAGGACAAGCCATGTCGATTCCCAGCCAGGGTTTCTGTATGCGTAATGGTGGCCATTGAGCGCTGTGAGTCCTTGAAGGTAAACGGGGAAATGCCTTGCCCTGCAGATCGTGCCTTGCCGTGGAATGAGTCTTACGTCCCACAGGCCATTAATTCAAATCAAACCTCTACCCTGCTCTTCCTCAGCTCCATCAGATGAGCAATAAGATGCCGAGGGGGCATTTACTTAGGAGTTTTTCAATTGTTGGCTCAGGAGGGTCAGCGGTTGTGCTGTCCGGTGCAAGAGACGCTTCTCCTACAATGGCCTTTTCTGCTTTTTGGAACTTTGGCAATGGCACAAAGACCTTCTTGCTTGCCCCTTTTTTCCTCCTGAACACGTGTGCTTTGGAGCCTGTACTGGGGCAGGACATGGCTCCCTCATGGAGGCTTTCCTTGAATGTCCACACACAGACTGGGCAGACCAGTCCACCGGCCTTCACCCACCCTCTGTGGGGATGCCTGCTGACCTTCCTAACGGACACAGTGATGCTCTCCAGTGCCAGCTGTAGTGCCCCCTGTTGGCAGCCAACCTGGGTGGTTTACAAAAGAGTAAGAGAATGTATACATATTTAACCTTGTTTCCCCCCAAACTCAGTTCAGTTCATCCACTCAGATTGAGCAGATCAGTTTCTTAGCCCTCTCCAGCCTTGGTGTGGGGTGTCAGCCAGCCATCCAAATGGCCAGAGTCATTTGATGTGCAATCAAATGAACCAGAATGGTTGGCAACCCACCCACACTAAGGGACAGCTCTGCCAAGAAGAGCCGCTGTGACCCAGAACCAGCTGCTTTTTCTCTTAGCCTTACCTTTTCCACCCCCCGGAACACACGAAGGAAGTTCTCTCTCAAAATGCCTTTCAGTTCTGCCTTGCTCCAGCCTCTCTTCAGCAGCTCCTCTATCAAGGCTGGATATTTGGAGACATCCTCCAGGCCTTTGGGGTGTCTGCAAACAAAACACGGAAGGAATGACTTCCCACAAAACAGATGCCCTGCTCTGCTCAGAAATCACAGAGGTAAACATGCTTTCTTATATCAAGCAAGGAGGCCTGAATTCCCTTTTAACCGTCATCAGGTGCATTTAGACATCCTCAGGAAATGCCTTGGCTGGCTTTGCAATGCTGAGTGTGTCCAACCCTTCAGAAGAAATCCGGACTGGAAAAGGTCGAACTCTGCCCAGTGCTCTGTTCAATCAGGGCTTTTCTCCACTAGGAAAATACACTTGCTGATTCTAGCGATTCCGGCTTAGTCAAAGGCAATTCTCTTGAGCACAATGATGTTGAGGTACACTTTCCAATACATTGGTTCTGTTTTTCTAGAAGGGCTGCCAGGCCTTTAAAAAGGGCAGCGGATGGCAGGGATCTGTGTGCTGATACAGGAAGGGAAAAATCTCTTCCTGGCATAGAGAGTGGGGGATGGGCAACCGCTGATCGCTGCCCACGGAGCCGTGCCAGGAGGTGGCAAGATACAGTCAGTCAGTCCAAGGCGTGGTGCTCCCCTCTTTACACAGCGAGCTGAGCCCTCCTGCCCTGTGCACTCACTGAGGACGCAGGGAACTGTACATGGGAAGGGGCCCGATCCTCTCTCAAACACTTCTGCTGTGAGTGGGAAGCACAGTGGGAGGAAGGTAGGAATCACGGGGGAATCGGTTGCCAAAACCAAGGGGCCTGCATTCTCTTTGCAGGACCAGATGCAGCTCAGTGGCAGAGGGCACCCCTGGAAAGTGTAGGCAGCTGTTTCTCAAGGTAAGCCTGGGCCTAACCCTTGCTGGGGTAGCAGGACACACCGAGCATCGCTGAGCTGGTGTGAGAAACCACACCGGTGTGGGAACCATGACTGCTTATCTCTGACGGCACGTATCTGGAAACAGGGGGAGCAGACTTGCTTTCTTAAAATGTTCACTGCAGAATAGTCTCGTAGTTTCCCAGGCTGCCACACACCAGCCACGGGGCCAATTTCAGGCCGTGCTTCTAGGGCCAAGGAGAGTTGCAAGAAGCCCAGACACACGCCACTCATGGGAAGAGGACGGCTGCAATCCCCTGGGTGGGCCATGCGTTCTACACTGTGGTAAATATTGCAAGGGAAAAGGTGGTAATGATTATGAGGGACAATAGTGTTTCTGCACAAGGTTGAAAACAACTCTTATAAAACTGCATATTTTACAGGATTAATAAAGCCAATAAAGGACTTCTTGTCTGGACCAGTAATTCTTCCCTCAGAATCCAAACACCTTTTGCCATTGTTTTGCTTGCTTACATATAAAAAAGATTAAATTCTTGATGGATGGTTGTGAACTGAGTTTTAAAGGATTAGCATACAGTGGATCATAGCTGTATTAAATTCAATTATTTTAAAGAACAACCTTGTTGTACAATTTGACTCAGCATCTTACAGAGTGCATCAGGTTTTTTTAAACAGCAACCTGATTTATAATGTTAAAAGAATCAATTCATAGGCACCAGTTTTTTCTGCCACTTTAACATTTTCAGAAGGGGTGTAGTTATACTTACAGGATACAGATTCATCAGCTCCCTGTGCAGTACTGTGTGGTGTGGCTCTGCATTTCCAAGTGTTCCTAACCCATGTGCTGCACACCAGCCAACTGTGTCCAAGATGCAATGCGCGAATGTTCTGAGCATGGAGACTGACCTTCAGCGCATGAACCTTTAAATGTAAGGGTCGGCTGGGAGGAGCACTGCACAGCAAAATGCCTTTTATGCACATTGTCTCTTACATAAATTCAGCTTGTACTGAGGAGCAAAGTCATTTAAAAACAATACATTTTTACTAACATATTCATTCCATCGTAGTCTCCACTGATTCCTATAAAGTCTGAGCCTATTGTTGCCTTGAGGTAGTCAAAATGATCTAAAGGAAGGGGGAAAAAGATGATAGAACATGAGTGCACGGCCCAGCAAAAGTAACAGACTTGAAAAATTTGACGGGGTTCAGACAATACAATAACCCACACTCAAAGGTGGGGTATAGGTTGGCATGGAGTCACTGGTTCTTGTTGAAATGTGGATTATTGTCTTGTCTGAACCCAGTTGAGTGGCAACCCTCACTGAACAGACCACAGTTCATAACACAAACCATGGTTAACAACTAACCATGATTAGTGTTGCTGGGTTCAGACAACACAAGGACCCATGTTTCAGCAATAACCCACACTCAACCCTTGTCTGAACATCTCCTCTCTGAAAAGGAGAGGCAGAGAGGAACTGCCTAAAACTGAGTCACTAACCAGCATTGTGCATCATTTGGTGTATGTGGACTGACATAGGGGAAACAGACCAGGCTGACGCTACCATTGGGTGGAGGAAGGTGGCTACCTCGTCAGGCAACCAGTGCCACCAGCCAGGATCCAGGCATCGCTTTACACTGTCTGTCCTGCACCCCCTTAGCCTTTTGTCCACACAACAGTAGAGGACAGTGCCTCACATCATTCATGAGGCCAGGTGGAAGGGCTGGTCCAATCCACCTTTTCACAGGCAATGGGGAAGGGGCAGCCAAGGGCCATCTTGTCTTTCAGCCCAAGCAGCAAAATGTCATGGGCTGGCCTGGGAAAAGAGCGCCAACCACTACTAGGACATGACACTCACTAGGTCATAGCCTTGGGCAAGTCCCTCATCTTCAACCTCCTCTACTTTTAAGGACTATTCATCATCTTGAACACCTCAAGGAGTGGGATACAAATCTGAAACAAATCAAAACACACCAGCACGGCAGCTGTTGGTAGTTTCTTCAGCACGTTTTCCCCAGGTGGGCATCAGTGTTGAGGACCACCTGTCCCCTGCTCAAGGGGCAGAGCAGCTCAGCATGACTGGGCAGAGCAAACAGTGGGGATGGACGGCATTCTGCCAGATAGGTCATGCCGAGGCCAAAAAGACGCTCTTTAATGGCCCTACCTGCCACTGTGTGCTTAGGCCCAGTATGGACACCTGACCTAGCAGTCGCTTGGCTGGTAGCTCCCAGGTCATTCCTGGTAACACTGGGTGCGCAGTGCTGGCAAGGAGATTGGTCCTCCTGCCTGTGACACCAACTGTTGAGGGAAAGGCTGGGGTGGGCAGTGTCGAGGTAAAGTCCATAGTACAGGTGTGTGCTAGGATAGTCCCCACTGCCACACTGCCAAACCTGCAGGCCCATCTGGTTGACCCATCTCAACAAGCCCAGCAGTTTTCATCTCCTCAGAGCAGGTCTACTGTGATGCTCCTGGGTCAGCATTGCCCAGTGGCGGCCAAGCCATCAAAGCAGACTTTGCATTGCAGCTGGGAACACGTGGCTGTTCCAGGGAAAAAGGTTCCTCCTCAGCTAGTGAAAGGGCTGCAGCCAAGCCCACAGGGACAGGGAATTCTAACGGAGCAGGCAGACCATGTCCGAGAGCCAGAGTTGTACCTGCACAAGCCCTGGTTCCACTACCCCCGGGCTAGCAACAGCACGGCTGGCCTCCTCCACGGGACCATCTTTTATCAGGTGACCCTCCAAGCTGATCCCCTTGCCCCTGTGCCACGCTCAGAGAGGGAACTGCATTATGTGGTAGAGGACCTGCTTCGGCCTCCAAAAAGGTCCCACTGCCCCTTCTGGGTGCCAAGGACAGTCCCTTTTTGATCTGTTTTGGCAATTTATAAGCCATCCTCCAGTGGCAAGACACGCCTGATGGCCTAAGACCAAAAAGCAAATGCAAGAAAGCAAAGCAAGGAAGCCACAGGAGTGCAGAAGCTGCACAAACTCCACTCAAATCCAGAAAAGCAATTGTTGTTGTTAGTCGCAAAGTCGTGTCTGACCCACTGCAACCCCATGGACAACATTCCTCCAGGCCTTCCTGTCCCCCACCATCCCCCGGAGTCCACTTAAGCTCACGCTGACTGCTTCAGGGACTCCATCTAGCCACCTCATCCTCGGCCATCCCCTCCTCCTTTTGCCTTCCATCATTCCCAGCATCAGGGTCTTCTCCAGGGAGTCCTTCCTTCTCATTAGGTGGCCA